AAAGTCTTCATTTTCAATTATATCTTAGTTAATTACTTTTATATTATTCAAATTCATAGAAGCAATGGATGAAATTTCCTCAAAAATTTCCCTTTGCTTCACATAATGTGGCCAGTACATTCTGATGGTAAGTCATAACAAGGTAATTTTTAACTATAAGAAATATCACAACATAAGGAACATAGCCAGGTTTTTATTACAGCAAAACATTTCTAAGCTTTAATTTAATCAGATAAGATTTATTTTTTCCTGTTTAATTTCTTACTTAAAATACTTATTATCTGATTCAGATAAAATTTGTGAAACCAATTATCTCTTGTTTTTCATATAAATAATAATAAAAATTACATTCACAAGAGCTTGTAATAAAAAAACAAATACATAGCTCAGTTATAAATGTGAATTGTAGAGGTTATTTTTATATCTTATATCATTTTAGGATCTTGAATTTGGCCAGAGATTACAGTTTCAAGCGCATAGCTTTTGGAAAACTCATTATTAATCATCCTTTGCATATGCACATCTTGGCTTCCTTGGAGACAGAAGTTCGGGGGTCTCTCCTGTTTCTATTAGAGGTACATAAAGTACTACTTGAGAAATATGTATATATTAATTTTAATGTAAAGAATTCAAGCTAATGATAAAACACTGTACTATTGTAATATAGGTCTAAATATACTCATATAGCAAAGTACTTGGCATTGCTAATTGAGCATGGACCATAAACTGTTTGATTAATGTTGTGCTTAAGCTAAATATTAAAATTGCAGATGGAAGAGATATTATGCCAAAACTTTCTCATTAAGTGAGTGGCTTGATAACTTATACTCATATTATTTCAAAGGCTTACACAGAGTCATAGCATAGTTTAAAATTTGAAAAAAGTTGTTTGGTCTGTTTCCCAAATGGACGAAAATTGTGTAGTTAATGTATGGGATCTATTTCCCACCCCTTTTTTTTTCATTGCCTGTTTTCCAAGTTGGTTGGTAAAGCCCAATGAGACCTGTATGTAAAGGTGAAGAGTTTTTACTTATTATGTAGAATTCAGTTTATGTTTGAATTCAAGTATAGTTGTTTTTTCTTTATATGTAGCTGTTGTTACTCAGAAACACTACTCACCTCTTCATAGGACAAATAGTTAATACCTTGCACCAGAGCTAAAAAGTTTTTTGTACATGCACCAAGCCTTTGAATGGAACTCCCACCCTTACACGTAATAAGGTTTACTGTGCCACCATTAGGATATACCCCTCCACCTTGGGTACTTTGTATATACCAAAAGCTCATTCTTTTCTTCAGCACTGCAGTGTTCACTCATATTTTTGTTTTCATCAAGAAGTACAGAATTTTTTGACTTATTATTTTAAACTTTTAATTGACAGTCAAAGTTTAATCTCTCTCATTCATTTACTTGATTTAGGGAAGAATAGATAATTTCAGTTACAGATTCTGATACTAGTTATTACCCTTTTTTATATTATCAGATCATCAAGAAATTAATGTCTCTTTTCATTTATTAAATGAAATAGTCCCCATTCTTATCAATGATGCTTTTCCATCTTACAATCAGCTTGTTAATGCCCTGATTAAAGAAATCACTTGCCTTTGAAGCAAAAACATGTCGATATCCTCTTTCATCAGATCTTTCCACAAGCTGCATTTGCTTCTGGTTCTTCTATGCCTGACAACGATTAAGTAACACCCACCTTTTTCCTTCACTGCTCTGATACCTGAGATATGTGACATTTGATCCCTTACTCCAGTGACTTCTACTGGCTCTTGGGTGAACTTCTTAGTGTCCTCTTACCTAGAGGCCTGCAATCATCGGGTTTGATAATCAATTGTTTCTGGAACCATTTTTCAGTTTTATTCCTGTGGGAGCTTGGCTCTTATACTTTAAAATATTCTTAGGTTTTTTTTAAGGGATTTTCTTTGTCTTTCAATGCTAACACCTGACTGTTTTTATAAGTTCTGTTCAGTTTGACCTCAAGAATACACTCATTTGATCTGTATTTCCACCACTATATGTACATTTGGCATATCCAAGCCCTGTCTCTGAATTCATCATATGTTTTGACTATACTTCTCCTTCAGAAGTTTGCTCAGTTGGATTGGCTGGTCATGTTCTCCAATCATTGAATCCCATTCAGTATCTGATTAATTTGGGAGTCTTTATCACCTCACTTGTTAGGTAGGCTCAACCTTTTCCTTTACATTTTTGAGATATGAAGTTTTTGGTTCCAGGATTTTTCTGTCACCTTTTCTTGTGAAATATCTCTTTTGGGGCACCTTGCTTCTGTCATCCCCATTTTTTCTGTGGATATGTCCTTTTGTTTTGTCCTCTTCAATAGACTCTGACAGATCAATGGAATAGGCCATGTGCTTCACTGTCTTCACTTGTTTATCTATCTTCATCTCTTTATTTCTAGCTGTTGTGGTAACTCAGACATTTCTGTACAACTCTGAACATCCATCTTAATCCACCTCTCTTGCCAAAGGAGGTGCAGTTCTGGGTACCTTCATCATTTTCATTGCTTGGTCTGCTGCAGAACAATCTTTCCATACCAATGTCTTTGAGATGTGGGCAGTTTAATGGGCCTGTCATCATATTTTGTTATGGATGTATGGAAATTATTTAATCTATTTCAACATCTCACCATCCTTTCTTAGATCACCTGACAGTTAGCTACTTGTTCCCCTTATTTCTGCTTTCTTGTTCTCTTTATCTCTGCTTTATTGTTCTCAAGCACTGCTTTAGGGCTCGTGACACCAACAAATTGTTGCCCTTCCTTTTTTTGGGAGCTTTGAATTTAATGGTAAATCAGCTGTCTCACCTTGACTGAATCATTCTGACAAAGTGGTGCTTTGATCTCCTTGTGTTTGTGTGGATTTCTTTACACTTTTGGAGTCCTGTTATTGATGCATTTGTGAATCCTTTTTATACTAAGCTTCCACTTTGTTTATCCAAGAATGACAATGGGGTCAGGACCAGCCAATTCAAGCTGCCCAGATTTGATGAACAGAAAGATGACATGGATGCTTTCCTGGAGAGATATGAAAGATTCACCCATAGTCAGAACTGGGACAAAAGTGACTAGGCAGTCTGTTTCAGCCCACTTCTCACAGGACATGGCCTACAAGTATATGCAGGCATGATGTCAGAAGATGCCATGGATTATGACAAGTTAAAAGTGATGTTGGTGAAATGCTATGAACTTACCAAGGAAGATTTTTTCCAGAATTTCAGAGAATAAAACCTGACACCGGAGAAACTATATTTCAGTTTGTGGCATGTCTACAGTGATACTTCATAAGGTGGACTGACATGGCCAAACGTGAAAATAGTTTTGAAGCACTGGCAGAGGTACTAATATGTGAACAGTTCCTGAAGAAGAGAGTACAAAAAGGCATGAATGAGATGATCAAGCTAGCTGAACAGTACATGAAAGTCCATGGAAAGAGTATAACTTGTAAGTCCAAGTATAACCAGCTAATTTTGAAACCAGGGGTAGTTGAACAGAAACAAGATACCACCAAAGTTGACAGGAAATCAATGGACAAAAGGGAGAATAGATACTATATTTGTTATAAAATGGGGCACATTGAGAATGAGTGCAAGTCTGTCACCAACAAGCAACAACAGAAATTTCAACATAAAGCAGCTGGAGCTACCTACAAAGATGGTTCTGGCAAGAAAAAAGAAAAGAATGACTATAACCATGGATTTTGCTGCCAGAAGAAACAAAATAGAGACAATCCATCAGATTCACCATATGAGGGTTTTATGTATATGAGTGGGTTAGAATTCTTCTAGAGTAGGTGTCTGCAACTTGTTGGTGGTAAATTTAGACAATAAACAGACAGCACACAATCCACTTGTTTTAAAATAATATATATTCAAAATAAGTCAAATATATGTACAAAATGTATTTATGCTAAATTCTTTACACTGTAGGAAATCACAGTTTTATCTAAAACTCTAAATGTTTCTCTTTTCCTGTCAAAAGTCCACACAGGCTGATTCAGTTACTTTAGATTCCAATTGACTAGACAAATTATGTTGGGTTAGCACAGTTATATCCCAAACTTTAAATAATTGTATCCTTTTCATCAAAGTCCACACAGATGGGTTCAATTGTTTTAGAACACCCTTTGACAAATTATTCTCCTTATTTCTGTTAAACTATGAAACTCGCATTAAATATTGCCAGTTATGGCTAAACTAACAATCACATAGTCTAACTTCACTTGCACTAATTTAACTTTTTCTGACTTGCTTTTTTTTGTTACCACAGTTGTATTTAGAGCTTTAAATAACTGTTTCCTTTTCATAAAAGTCCACACAGGCAGGTTCAATTACTTTAGAACACCCTTTGGACAAGAAAAATGATTCCCCTTATTTCTGTTAAATTAAGAAACTCACTTTTATGATATCACCCGTTAAGGCTAATTACTCAAACACCAGCTAATTTCATGTTTTCTAACTTTTTTCTGACTGAACTTCACTTAATTTGCACTCACTTGGTCACCTATATATACATTGCCTAACTGAGGCCTTGAACTTTCTACAAACTATGGAATGCTATGATGTAACAATAATCATGTAGCAATAAAAATTTTAGACCTAGTACGTGGAGATGAGACATATAAAGACATCAACATCAGTGAAGAACTGATTGGCAAATGAAAGAAAGCGATATAAAATCTACTGTGCCAGTATACAGATAGAATAGGCAAGACAGGCTTCATGCAACACAAGATCAAAACAAAGACAAGGAATCTACTTAAAGTGAAGCTCTACAGATACCCTATGAGCTGAGTAGACTTCATGTATTAACTGAGAACAATGCTTGTATGTAGTATAAAAATTTTTGTAAATATTTTTCTTTAAGAGGGGCTTATTGTTGAATATACAAAACTGTTCAGTTTAATAAGAGTTATTATTTAGTTTATTTAGTGATTTAACATTTAATGGTTATTTAATTGTCATAACAACAGTCTTAAAAGTTAATTATTTTAAAAGCAATAGTTACGAGAAGTTTCATTATGTAACTCTGTATGAGTTGTACAGTTTAATTGTTGTATTAGGCTTTTCTAATATTGTTGACGTCATCTTACTTGAAGCTTCTAAGTTTTCTCATTATGTTCAATGTTGTTACTAGAGGGCTAGATTTTCCTGTCTCATGTTATAACTGCATGCAGTTACAGAGAGTTAAGTAAGTTAGTGAAAGTAAGTTTATAAAAGTGCAAGTGATGTTAGACTGCATGACTGTCAGTTTAGTTGTAATGGCTGATTTATAATGTGAGAATTTCACAGCTTGTATTGTTTAAGTACAATGAGTGACTGTACTACAGGTTTATTCACCCTTAGCAAGTACTTGTTTACTATCTTGTTAATGTGTTTTCAAGGAAACAATTCTTCTTAAGAAAGCTTTTGATGTTACTAAATTTTAAACTGAATGCCAATTCATTGCTTTTTCTTTAAAAGTCCCTGTGAACTAGCACAAACACTAAATTATTTTTGAAAACAGAAGAAATAAAGCTACTGTAATTGAAATATAAACCTGAGGAAGTT